AAGGCTTGATGTAAGAAATTCAAATCTTATTCCATCTAATACTAATAAGAAATAAGATGATTCTATTGAAAAATGAATAATAAAAAGCGATGTAAGAAATTCAAAATTCCATCTAAACTAAATGAAAGAAAAAATTGAAAATGAATAATAATTGACAAGGCTTCATGTAAGAAATTTTATAAAAGCAAGAGGACTAAGAAAAGAAATTCTATTGAAAATGAATAATGACAAGACAAGAAATTCAAAAATCTAAAATTCTATTGAAATTCTAAAATGAATAATAATTGACAAGGCTTGATAAGAAATTCAAATCTTATTCCATTTTACTACAAGTGGACTAAAAAAGCAAGAGAAATAAGATTAAAGAAATTCTATTGAAAAATGAATAATAATTGACAAGGTTTGATGTAAGAAATTCAAATCTTATTCCATCTAATAAACTAGTGGACTAAAAAGCAAGAGAAATAAGATGAAAGCCTATTGAAAAATGAATAATAATTGACAAGGCTTTGTAAGAAATTAAATCTTCAAGTTCTATTGAAAAATGAATAATAATTAAGTGAGAATAAAAAAGTGGTATAAAAGCAAGAGAAATAAGATGAAAGAAACTATTGAAAATGAATTAATTCCATGTAAGAAATTCAAATCTTATTCCATCTACTAAGTGGAATAAAAAGCAAGAGAAATAAGATGAAAGAAATTCTATTGAAAAATGAATAATAATTGACAGGCTTGATGTAAGAAATTCAAATGAATCTATACTGGTTGGACTAAAAAGCAAAGAGAAATAAGATGAAAGAAATTCTATTGAAAATGAATAATACTGACTACTAGGTGACTAAAAGTAAGAAATTCAAAACTTATTCCATAATACCACAAGTGGACTAAAAAAGCAAGAGAAATAAAGATTAAAGAAATTTATTGAAAAATGAATAATAATTGACAAAGGCTTTGTAAGAAATTCAAATCTTATTCCATCTAATAACAAGTGGAATTTAAGAAATGAATAATAAGGCTTGATTAAAGAAATCCTGAAAAGGAAGAAATTATTGAAAATGAATAATTGATGTAAGAAATTAAATCTTATTCCATCTAATACTACAAGTGGAATAAAAAAGCAAGAGAAATAAGATGAAAGAAATTCTATTGAAAATGAAGAATAATTGACAAGGCTTGATGTAAGAAATTCAAATCTTATTCCATTATGGACTACAAAAAAGCAAGAGAAATAAGATGAGAAATAAATGAAAAATTTATTGAAAAATGAATAATAATTGACCTTCCAAATCTTATTCCATCTAATACTACTAGTGGAATAAAAGCAAGAGAAATAAGATGAAAGAAAAATTCTAATTGACAAAAAATGAAAAATAATATTCCATCTTGACTCTTCATGATAAAAGAAATTCTGTTGAAAAAAATCTACATTCCATCTTACTACAAGTGGACTAAAAAGCAAAGAAATAAGATGAAAGAAATTCTATTGAAAATGAATAATAAACAAGGCTTGATGTAAGAAATTCAAATCTTATTCCATCTAATACTACAAGTGGACTAAAAAAGCAAGAGAAATAAGATTAAAGAAATTCTATTGAAAAATGAAGAATAATTGACAAGGTTTGAAGAAGAAATTCAAAGTATTGGACTAAAAAGCAAGAGAAATAAGATTAAAGAAATTCTATTGAAAAATGAATAATAAGGACAAGGAGGAATTAAAATTCCATCTAAACTACTAGTGGAATAAAAAAGCAAGAGAAATAAGATGAAAGAAAGGCCCCTATTGAAAAAATGAATAATAATTGACAAGCAAGAGAATAAGAAATTCAAACTTTTATTCCATCTAATACTACAAGTGGAATAAAAACAAGAGAAATAAGATGAAAGAAATTCTATTGAAAAAAGGAATAATAATTGACAAGGCTTGATGTAAGAAATTCAAATCTATTCCAACTAAAGAATAAAAAAGCAAGAGAAATAAGATGAAAGAAATTCATTGAAAAATGAAAATAATTGACAAGGCTTCATGTAAGAAATTCAAATCTTATTCCATCATAATACTACTAGTGGAATAAAAAGCAAGAGAAATAAGATGAAAAGAAATTTATTGAAAATGAATAATAATTGACAACTTCATGTAAGTAAAATTCAAATTAAACTAGTGGAAAAAAAAAAGAGAAATAAGATGAAAGAAATTTATTGAAAAATGAAACAAGGCTTAGGTTTGTAAGAATTAAATCTTATTCCATCTAAACTACTAGTGAATAAAAAGCAAGAGAAATAAGATGAAAGAAATTCTATTGAAAAAAAATAATTGACAAAGTTTATGTAAAAATTCAAATCTTATTCCATCTAATACTAGAAGTGGAATAAAAAGCAAGAGAAATAAGATGAAAGAAATTCTATTGAAAAATGAATAATAATTGACAAGGCTTGATGAAAGAAATTGAAAATGAATAATAATTCCTTCTAAGACAAGTGGACTAAAAATAAAAGCAAGAGAAATAAGATGAAAGAAATTCTATTGAAAAAAATGAATAATAATTGACAAGGCTTGATGTAAGAAATTCAAATCTTATTCCATCTAATATAGTGGACTAAAAAAGCAAGAGAAATAAAGATGAAAAAAGAAATTTATTGAAAAAAAAAAATTGACAAGGCTTGATAAGAAATTGAAAAAATTATTCCATCTAATTCAAATCTTATCCATCTACAAGTGGAATAAAAAAAGAGAAATAAGATGAAAGAAATTCTATTGAAAAAAATGAATAATAATTGACAAGGCTTGATAAGAAATTCAAATCTTATTCCATAATACTACAAGTGGACTAAAAGCAAGAGAAATAAGATGAAAGAAAAAAAAAAATGAATAATAATTGACAAGGCTTGATGTAAGAAATTCAAATCTTAATCTAAAAAGCAAAATAAGATGAAAGAAACTGAAAAATGAATAATAACAAGTGTAAGAAAAAAAAAGAATAAAAAAAAGAAATAAGATGAAAGAAATTCTATTGAAAAAATGAATAAATTGACTATTGTGGAATAAAGGCTTGAGTAAAATTCAAATCTTATTCCATCTAATACTACTAGTGGAATAAAAAAGCAAGAGAAATAAGATGAAAAAAAATCCTAGTGAAAAATGAATAATAATTGACAAGGCTTGAAAATGTAAGAAATTCAAATGATGTATTCAAGATCTAATAAAATATTGGAATAAAAAGCAAGAGAAATAAGATGAAAGAAATTCTATTGAAAAATGAATATCATATATTTAAGGCTTGATGTGAAAAGGCCTAGTGGATAAAGAAATAAGATGAAAGAGATTGAAAATGAATAATAAACAAGGCTGATGAAGAAAAAGTCCAAATTACATTGAAGAGAAAAAGATAACTCATTGAAAAATGCTTAATAATTTCTATATTTTTCTTTATTCCATTTAAAAAAATCAAGAGAAATAAGATGAAAGAAATTCTATTGAAAACGAATAATAATTGTGGGCTTGATGTAAGAAATTCAAAGATCTGTTTAAGAGAGATAAAAAATTTGAATAAAAGCAAGAGAAATAAGATGAAAATGAAATTCTTTGAAAAAGAAAAAAAAACAATCAAATATTATTAATCAAAAATATTGAATAAAAAACATAAGATGAAAGATATTTTTGAAAAGTTTAATAAAAAGGCCTCGAATGAAAGATAACTTTTGTTGTATCTATCTAGGTAATCATTATCGATCTTCATTCTGTTTTTAAGTCTGTTATTCTAGGTCTTTCTGTCCTTTAATGAATCGATTGACCATATCATAGAAATACGTATTTCGATACCAAAAAATCGAAGCGACAACTTGGAGATAACTGTTGGGAGATTAGAGAAATTGAAATACGTATTTTTCAGCGAAATGAAAAAGAATTATCGGTAAAAAAATACGCTGGCATCCAAACAGAGCTTCCAGGCCATTTGATTCGATAATCGTTATCGAATCTATAAACTTTCGGAAGGAACAAACAAAATCATAACGAACGGAACCAGTTTTGTAAGACTTTTCCTGTTAAAATGAACAATCATTTTGTTTCTACTATTTTTGTGTCGTTTCGGCCGATCAACACTTTTGCCTTTCACATTTTCAATCCATATGGAAGAATTTGAAAACTGAAACGAAGAAATAAAGAAAAGATTAATAACCTCTAATTTAGCCCAGCTTTAATTTGCTTGTGGTGGGGAGATTTCCGTAAATAGAAAAAGGGATTTATTTCATATAGTGTATGAAATGGTCTGTCTTTAGCGCATAGCTTCGGGAGAAAATGCGTTGGTCTTATCATATTCTTGCCAGAATATTCGCCCTTTTGATTTTGTTTTAATATTTTCAATGATAAAAGGAGAAACTGAAAACTGAAAATAAAGCTTCCGCCGTCCATATGGATATGCATATCTAGAAATGGACGGACAAAAGCAGCAACAAAGGCATAATATCAATAGCCCTGCAACTGATTTCACTTCTAACCTAACTCTAAACAGCTGAATGCGAAAAAAGAAAACCTTACTTTTAACTTTCAATATCCCGAAAATCAAGCCCATATAGTTTTATCCTCACTGTTCCAGCCTTGAATGTTTTGCAGTCACGATAAACGAGTCGCCCTCTATCAATGGAGCTCCTTGCTTTGAACGTATTTTAGATCTCAAGTTCAGTGAAAACATCAAGTGGAACACATATTAATGGAACACTACAAAGGCCGATTCAGTTGTGTAATGAGTCTGGTTTTGACTCTCGCAATCGAGAGATGATAGCCTGGTGCAGAGTACCACCGGTCTAGGCAGAGAGTGGGCAGGCACTGGGTTGCCTACAGGTCAAGATCGCCACTTCTCGGCGTTGCCGGTAGATTCCTAACGAGATATAAATCCGAGGCAGTTTTGTAATGGCGCAGCTGCAGCAGTTGTCCAAAGGTGAGACAAGTACATTATCCAAAGGACCCGTGTGGCCCATTTCTGATTTACTTAGAGTGTTGCTCTTTAGTCTTCTCTTTCACTGAAGATAGCAGAAAGTAAGAAGGAAATTAAAGACAGAAAGAAAGAAAAGAAGAAAAGAAGAAAAGAAGAAAAGAGAGAGGGATGATGAAAATGAAACGAAGAAAAGAAAGTATTCAAAAAGAAAGAAAGAAAAAAAAGGAGGACTGAGGAATAAAAACAAAACGAACGAAAAAAGAAAAAAAGAAAAAAGAAAGAAAGAAAGAAAAAGAGGACTGAGAAATAACAAGGAAACGAATGAACGAAAGACAGAAAGAAAGAAAGAAAGAAAGAAAGAAAGAAAGAAAGAAAGAAAGAAAAACACAGAAAGAAAGAAAAGAGAGAGGTGTTAAAATGAGACGGGGAAATGAATGAAAGAAAGAAAGAATAAAAGAGAGAAGAGGTGAACTGGGAAATAAAAATTAAACAAAAGAACGAAGAAACGAAAAAAAGAAAGAAAAGGGAGATGCGATAAAAATGAAACGGAGAAAAAATAAAGAAAGAAAGAAAGAAAAGAAAAAGTGAGAAATAAAAAAAGAAACGAAGGAAAAAACGAACGAATGAACGAAAGAAAGAAAGAAAGAAAGAAAGAAAGAAAGAAAGAAAGAAATACAGAAAGAAAAGGGTGATGGGATAAACATGAGACGGAGAAAAGAAAGAGAAAAGACAGAAAGAAAGAAAGAAGAAGTGGGAAATAAAAATAAAAAGCACGAAGACACGAATGAAAGACAAAAAGAAAGAAAGAGAGAAAGAAAAGAGAGATGGGATAAAAATGAGAGTGAGAAAAGGAAAGAAAGAAAAAAGAGATGAGGTAAAAATGAGAGAGAAAAAAGGGAAAGAAAAGAGAGATAGGATAAAAATGAGAGAGAGAAAAAGAGAGAAAGAAAAGAGAGAGAGGATAAAAATGAGAGTGAGAAAAAGAGAGAAAGAAAAGAGAGATACGATAAAAATGAGAGAGAGAAAAAGACAGAAAGAAAAGAGAGATGGGATATAAATGAGAGTGAGAAAAAGAGAGAAAGAAAAGAGAGAGAGGATAAAAATGAGAGTGAGAAAAAGAGAGAAAGAAAAGAGAGATACGATAAAAATGAGAGAGAGAAAAAGAGAGAAAGAAAAGAGAGAGAGGATAAAAATGAGAGTGAGAAAAAGAGAGAAAGAAAAGAGAGAGAGGATAAAAATGAGAGTGAGAAAAAGAGAGAAAGAAAAGAGAGAGAGGATAAAAATGAGAGTGAGAAAAAGAGAGAAAGAAAAGAGAGACATGATAAAAATGAGAGAGAGAAAAGACAGAAAGAAAAAGAGAGATGGGATAAAAATGAGAGAGAGAAAAGAAAAAAAGAGAAAAAGAGAGAGGATAAAAATGAGAGTGAGAAAAGGGAGAAAGAAAAGAGAGAGAGGAAAAAAATGTGTGAGAAAAGAGAGAAAAAAAAAGAGAGAGAGGATAAAAATGAGAGAGAAAAAAGAGAAAAAGAGAGAAAGGAGAAAAAATGAGAGAGAAAAAGAGAGAAAGGAAAGAGAGAGAGAGGATAAAAAATGAAAGAGAGAAAAAAGACAGAAAAAAAAGATAGATAGGGATAAAAATGAGAGAGAGAAAAAGAGAGAAAGAAAAGAGAGAGAGAGGATAAAAATGAGAGTGAGAAAAAGAGAGAAAGAAAAGAGAGATAGGATAAAAATGAAAGAGAGAAAAAGAGAGAAAGAAAAGAGAGAGAGCATAAAAATGAGAGTGAGAAAAGAGAGAAAGAAAAGAGAGAGAGAGGATAAAAATGAGAGTGAGAAAAAGAGAGAAAGGAAAGAGAGAGAGGATAAAAATGAAAGAGAGAAAAAGACAGAAAGAAAAGAGAGATAGGATAAAAATGAGAGAGAGAAAAAGAGAGAAAGAAAAGAGAGAGAGAGGATAAAAATGAGAGTGAGAAAAAGAGAGAAAGGAAAGAGAGAGAGGATAAAAATAAGTGTGTAAAAGAAAGACAGAAAGGACCGGAGAACTTAAAAATAAAATTGAAACGAAAAAAATAAATTATTAAAGAATGGACAGGATGATTCGGAAATAAAAATGAAAAAAGAAAGAAAGAAATAAGAAAAGAGAGATGAGATAAAGATGAGACTGAGAAAAGAAAGAAAGAAAGAAATCAAGGTTAGTAGAATTAAGAAATAAAAATGAAAAATAAATAAATAATTAATAAAGGAAGAAAGTAAGAAAAAAGAAAAGGAAAGATTGAGTAGCAGAATTCAGAAATAAAATAAGAAAGAATGAAAGAAAGAAAAATGAAACGAACGAAGGAAGGAGTAAAAATGAAGAAATAATAGAGTGATAAGTTAAAAATGAGAAAATAAATAATTAAATAAAACAATACAGAAATAAATAAATAAAAGTGGCGGAGAGAAATAAACGAAGAGACAAAAGAAAGATAGAAAGAAAGACAGAAAGAAAGAAAAGGATAAATGTTCAACGGGAAAGAAAAGAAGAAAGATAGAAAACGCGAAGAAAGAAAGAAAGAAAGAAAGAAAGAAAGAAAGAAAGGCCGGTTGAATTAAGAAATGAAAATGAAAAAGAAAGAAAGAAAGAAAGAAAGAGAAGAGAGGATGGAATAAAATAAGGCAAGAGAAAGAAAGAAAGAAAGAAAGAAAGAAAGAAAGAAAGAAAGACAGAAAGACGAAAAAAAAGAGGAGAGGAACCGAAAGCGGAACTGATAAATAATAATGAAACGACAGAAAGAAAGAAAGAAGGAAAGAAAGAAAGAAGGAAAGTAGAGAGTGAGAAAGAAAGAAATGGTATAAAAATGAGACCGAGCAAAGAAAGAAAGAAAGAAAGAAAGAAAGAAAGAAAGAAAGAAAGAAGAAAGGAAAATATTCGGGGAAGAACAAAAGTAGAAAGATAGAAAACGCTTAGAAAGAAAGAAAAAAAGAAAGAAAGAAAGAAAGAAAGAAAGAATGAAATATGGAAAGTAGAGAGTGAGAAAGAATGAAATGGTATAAAAATGAGACCGAGCAAAGAAAGCAAGAAAGAAAGAAAGAGGAGAGGATGGAATAAAATAAGTCAAGAAAAAGAAAGAAAGAAAGAAAGCAAGCAAGCAAGAAAGAAAGAAAGAAAGAAAGAAAGAAAGAAAGATGAAAAAAAAATGAGGAAAGGAACCAAAAGCAGAACTGAGAAATAATAATGAAACGACAGAAAGAAAGAAAGAAAGAAAGAAAGAAGGAAAGAAAGTAGAGAGTGGATAAATTGAAACATGGAAATGCAAGAAAGAAATGGAAAACTCGGAAATAAAAATGAAATGAAAGAAAGAAAGAAATGGTATAAAAATGAGACCGAGCAAAGAAAGAAAGAAAGAAAGAAAGAAAGAATGAAAGAAAGAAAGAAAGAAAGAAAGAAAGAAGAAGGGAAAATGTTCGGGGAAGAACAAAAGTAAAAAGATAGAAAACGCTTACAAAGAAAGAAAGAAAGAAAGAAAGAAAGAAAGAAAGAAAGAAAGAAAGAAAAGAAAGTAAAAAAAAACAAACACATATGATATAAAATGGAGACGAAGAAAAGAAAGAATGAAAAGAAGCTATCAAGAAAGTAAGAAAAGAAAGAAGGAAAGAAAGGTAGAAAGGCATAATTGAGGAATAAAAATGAAAATAACAACTAATGATTAAAAAATGAAACAAGAAAGAATGTGTACGAATGAAAATGAAAGAAATGAATGAAATAAAATTAAAGAATGAAAGAAAACAGAGGAAAGATCGTAAATGAAAGATGAAAGTAGTTACAAAATGGATGAAAATTGTAGAAAAAAAATAAAATAAAGAAGTCAGAAAAAAATGAAAATGAAAAATATTAAAGAAAATAAAATTAACGAAAAAAAATGAAAGAAGGAAAAGAAAAGAAAGAAAGGATGAAAAAAGAAAGAAAGAAAAGAATGAAGAAAACATAAAAAAACGAATTAAAGCCATTGATTTTCAGAGAGTCGAACAGAAGGAGAAAACAGCTGAAAAAATCTTTTAAAAAAATCAAAATTTGATAATTTTCAATAATTGCCAGAGAAACTGCTGTCAAAACTGAATTTATCATCTTTGAATTTTGTAAAGAGCGCTGAAGTTATACTCTTCCATTTAAAAATTAAATCAGGCTTTTAGAATTTCTCTCACGAACAATTAACTCTTTTTGACGGATGGAATTTATATGCAGTAAAGGATAACAGCAATACAGTTCCTAGATTTTTGTATTTCATCGAATAATTTTAATTAATACTGACCAGATTATTTAAACTGACATCGAAGACATTTTTCTTTGGTTTGTTTTTCGCATACCATTCCTTTTCCCTCTTAATGTCTAGTTCTGTCTTAATGTCTTAGGTTTGCTTTGTGCGAAAATCAAAATGGAAGGTGTAGATTTAGTTTGCAAGAGAGTCCAAAACGTGTCTTCCTTCAGACAAACAATATGGCTTTCGCTTCTCTAGGTTAACCGTCGAGATATGTTGATAGTTATAGCTGAAAGAATCTGTCAAGTTTTAGATAATAATGCCGAAACTCGGGATGCTGCTTTACTTATCTCGAAGGTGTTTGACAAGGTTTGGCATGCGGGTTTTCTCTACAAGTTGAAAGGTTATGACATTTCTGGCCATTTATTTGATTTGCTTCAATATTTCATATCAAATGTAAAAAATTAAAGTGGTCTTGAGACGTTCAAGACCACTTTAATTTTGACACTCTTCTAATATGAGTGTCCCCAGATTTCTATTTGTGGACGGATGTCATCAGTCCTTGACTAAATATCTATTCTTATGACATAACTATTTACTTTTGTCTTAAGGGTAAGTTTGAGAGATTCAATAAAATTATATTGGCAACTGCTCTCAAAAATTATCAATAATCAGTTGTTAATTGGGGCAAGAAATGGCTTGTTAACTTTAAATACCCCCAGAAGTTATACTGCTGTTTATAAAAATAAACTTAAAGAACATTTTCTCTTTTTATCAGTATGGCTGATGCTAACCTCAGGAGACTAACTTTTTGCACCTTCTTGCTCTCACGTTTTTCACTGACATGAAGTGGAAATATTATATTGAATTAAATTCTAAGCTTTATCAATGAAATTTGTTCACTATGTCGCCTTAGATAATTTTTCTAGACAGTATCTATCATGCGTATTTATAAATCTACCATTCATCCGTCCATTGAATATTGCTATATCTGGTCTGGTGTTTCTGTTATATATCTAGAGTCTTGACTATAAGCAAAGGCGAATCTGCAATATTATATATCCTGACCTGGCATCTCGGCTTCACGAATTTAAGTACAGTACTATTCTTTTTTAACCTTGTTTTTTTTATTGTCTTCTGTAATGTTTTCCCTTTCTGTCATGCGTCCTTACCTATAACGACAGAATTAACTCTTCCTAACACTATATTTACTACGCCTCTCAAGAGAGAGGGACGAATCAAACCGAGCTTCTCAGCTTGACGGACTAGGCTCCGCCGAAGGGCAGAGTCTCGTTCGGGGAGGTTGACCGACCCGATCCCGTTTATACGGGTTCTACGGGCATTTTTTGTCCGAGCCTACGGGCTCGGGAAACCCACGTTAAAATCGGCCTTGTTCCACATGCAACCCTCGTGGGGGTGGCTAGATACTGAATCGAGTCGGGCCGATAATAGTTCACTCCAAACCAGACTGAGAGTCATACTAACACCTTCCACATGTTGTATTATTATTTCGTGTAATATACCTTCGTTATTTCTACTCTTGTGTTCGTGTTGTTCTTCCTTGGTCCTAACCTTGGACCATAACACTTTCAATGCATCTTAGTGGATTCTGTCACCTGACTTAGCATGAAATGATAAAAGAAAGAGTAGACTTAGGTTAGGTTTGCATGTCAACAAAGCAGATATATTTATAATAAACCGGTTCCCCTTTTGTGGGGTTTCTTCCTCTTCATCTTCTTGACTGTTACTGAAGAGAGGAGCAATAAACATGTAAAATTCCTCCATTGAAATTCCTCGAATTAGAATAAATGTCAATGAGTTGTCAGGAAAATAAGCAAATATTTGTACGTGTTTCTGATACGATCTTTTTATTTACTGGAACCGTTAGCATCTGACACAAAGTACATTGGGGTCATCTCGTAAGGATAAATATGAGAGGATATTATAATTCACTACTCTACGGATAGCGCATCTTTTTAAGATAAAAATCGATGTAAATGAAATGAATTTTATAATGATGTCAAGCAGTTTGCAAATTTTTCTATGTATTACTTGACAAAATCTTATATTTATATGAATTTATGGAATCATTATTCAATCACCAATGTTGCCCGGCCTTTCTATGAGTTTTCTATCATATTAGGGTCAATGAAAAAAATTTCCAACACTTATTTGATAAAATTCTTTTATCAGATGACACACTATTCTAGGAAAACTATTTTAAATTGCATTGTTTTCCACTAAGATCAATTATGATAATTCGCAGACAATGAAGTAATCTGTGGAGTATCATAAAAGATCATGGCAATAAAAAGTAAAAAAAAAAAAAAAATCTAGCTCGATCACAGATATAAGGAATATTTTCATTATTTTTTTCTATTAATAAAGCTAAAAATCTAACAAAAAGATTTGTGCAGTTTATGGATAAGGTACTGTGAATAACCGAACGTGTGAAAAATGGTTTGCAAAATCTCTGACTGGAGATTTCTCGTTGAACAATGCTCTACGGTTGGGTAGATGAGTTGACTTTTTGATAACATCTAATGTTAAAAAATGTTTGAGATAAAGCAACATTTTACACCATGGGAAATTAGTAACAGGTACTTTCAACCATTTGTCTATTCAGTATCGTTCCAGATTCGATACGATCAGTTTACGAACAGCAATTTTCAATTCAAAGGTTCGATTGTGTCTGGCCATTCCATAAACTTATTCTCCTCAAACCATTCTAGGATTGTTTTCGAAATATATTCTAAATCGTTGTCTAGTTGCAAGATGAATCACTTACCGAGTGTAAGTTTGGTTTCGTTTGGTTTGTATTACGACATATCAATACCTCAATGGGTCATTTAATGCCGACAAAATCTTTATTACTGGTAATGATTTTCCTCAAAAATCTATTTCTGGAAACATTTTTCCTTGAAGAAATCTATCACTGGTCATATTTTTTCCAAAAAAATGTAAAGCTTTTTGTATTGCTGGTATTTTTAAAAGTATTGATGATAATAATTTTTCCTTCAAGAATTATTGGTAATATTTTTTTTATTACAAAGTATTTCTGGTATTAAAACCTATTTTTACACAAGTTTGGGTGTTAACTATTTGACCATAGCTGGGACCCTAACAGATGCTACCACTCCGGGTCAGGGTGGACGCTTCTCAAAACGTCCTGATCAGAGGCCTTGCTGTTGGACGTAGTTTATCGTCTAACCCAGGACGCAGATGTAGTTTATCGTCTTACCCAGGACGCAGATGTAGTTTATCGTCATACCCAGGTCGCGGATGTAGTTTATCGTCATACTCAGGTCGCGGATGTAGTTTATCGTCTTACCCAGGTCGCAGATGTAGTTTATCGTCATACCCAGGTCGCGGATGTAGTTTATCGTCTTACCCAGGACGCAGATGTAGTTTATCGTCATACCCAGGACAGCCGAGTGTAAGTCGGATGACAAAGGACAAAGTATTTTCCAAAAGAATAAATTGATATCTTCGACTTATTCTTTTATACTAACCATTTCCATACGCCCGTCATGTAGGTGGACATCTGCCCCCCCTCTATCTCGTTTGATTTCGATCTCAGTCCTATAAGTGTGACGTTCTTCAAGCATGTATTTGTCATTATGTGTCCCAGAGCGAACCAATTTTACACGCCCCGTACTTTGTGCGCCTATTGTGACACAACTCAGACCTCAGAGTGGAGCCCGTACATACCATTCATCATTAGAGATGGAGGAAAAAATGGCCGGTTACTTGTACCGCTCCAGCAAATACCTGACTCCACGTGCTATCCTCTACCGCTGCAACAGCCAGATCAGGTCTAAAAGTGGAGTACTGCTACCATATTTGAGCAGCAGCTAGAGATAGGAGATCCAGAGTCTAACAGCGTCTCTGCGTCCTTGTGGGCGAAAAATTATTTTCCACCTTACATCGCATTTTCTCACAGACCAAACGTCACAAGCCTTTCGCTGCTCTATTGCTTTTTCCATGGAAAGTGCTCAGACGAACTATATTCCTTAGTTCTATTAGTTCTATCCTTCACGGCTAAGACCCGCCATGCTACCCACATTGTAGTGAACCAAACATATTCCTTTCGTATTTCATCGGTTCCGCAAGACGCTGTTCTGTGGAACCGACTCTCAAGAGGATGTGTTCCCGATCACTACAATCTTAACCTGTTCAAATCTAGCATTAATCGTTATGTTCCTTACATATCCACATAAACTGTGTCTTTTATTCTCTACCTCGAGTGGCTCTCGGGCTTTGAACATCACTGAAAAAAATAAATATAAATAAAGTAACCAATACAGGTGAGGCAAACCCATAAAATGCTATGTCTACTACCATCCTTCATTGAGATGGGATACTTATAAATTTTTTGCTGTATTCTTTATTTTGTCAAGTATAATGTGGATGATT